AGAAAGAACACATAGGATGATGCACTTTCATTGGTAACGTTTTAGTTCTTAAGTTGGGTAGTGAATGAGTGAGTGGGATCACAAATACTCATTTTATCATGTCTCACAACTTACATATGTAATAAATACGCTTTTCAACTACTAAGTCAAATAAATAAAGAAAAAATATTCTACACTGAATATATGTGTATATGTCCTTTTTTCAATTATGTTGTGACATAATTAGTAAGATGTTTTATACAATAAGGCATAAACACTAGTTAAAAAAACTTCCCATGAATATGGACTATAGGTAGGCAACATAGTATAGTAGGTTTAGCTGTAGAACTCTGTCTTAATTCTGATTCTGTTTAATAGTCGTTCCTACATATGCCTGAGGGATTGGTTCCAGAAACCTTCACAGGAACCAAAACCCATGGATGCTCAGGTCCCTTATAGAAAATAGCACAGTATTTGCATATAATCTATGCATATCCTCTCCTTAAATCATCTATATATTACTTATAATACCTAATACAATGTAAATGCTATGTAAATGGCTGTCAGCATTGTGGCAACTTCAAGTTTTGCTTTTTGGAACTTCCTGGGATTGTTTTTCCAAATATTGTTAATCTGTGGTTGGTTGAATCTGCGAACGCAGAACCACTGAATGCAGAACTGGTGGATAAGGAAGTCTGATTATATTAGTTTTGTGAACTTGAGCAACCGTACTTAATCTCTCAATTTCTGGTCTTTCAAATGGAAATAATAATCATATCTTAGGCACTTTATGAGGAATAAATAATAGTATGTGTAAGATACATATAAAGTAGAAAATGATACAGCTAATGTACAAAATAAATGTTAATCCCCTTCTCCTAGTTATAGTCTGAAGATTTTGAGAGCACGTATAGCAAAGAATTTAAGGGCACAGCTTACAGCCAGAATAGAATGCCTGGATTCAAACCACAGCTCTGACCTTTATTGATCAGAGTATGGCTGTTATATGCCTCTGTTTTGTAAAATGAAGGTGAAAGCAGCAATATTTCACAGGTTGAGGATTAAGTAAAAAACTCATGGTAAGTGTATAGTGTTAGTATTAGTAATTATTAATATTTTAATCAGCATTATAATCATTAGCTGAGGTCCCTGGAAAGAGTTTTACATTTAAATTTGTTCTTCTTAAAATTCTACCTGTGAGCTAATTTCTATACAGATGTAAGTAATTCATCATGTCATGTGTTTTCAAATATAAAAACCTAAAATACAAAAAAAAAAATTCATCTTGTCATATATTAGGGCCTAAAAACAACAAAAAAAGGAAAAGATGAGAAAATTCAGTGAAGTACTGATAGAAAAAAATGATGTTATTTAATATTTTGTGACTTTAATCTGATTAAACTTATACTCTTATAAAATGAGCTTATAACCTTCACATGAATTACAATTTATTGACAGACACTAAAAAGGCAGGATATAGTATATGGGTATATCAAATATATAAACAGGGGCTTCCCTGGTGGCGCAGTGCTTGAGAGTCCGCCTGCCGATGCAGGAGACGCGGGTTCGTGCCCCGTTTCGGGAAGATCCCACATGCCGCGGAGCGGCTGGGTTCAAGTGAATGATTAGAGATTAAAGTTTAGGTTATTTATCAGAATAAACTCTAAAACAGCCTTTAAAAATAAAGAAAACATAGCAAGAAGGCTGAGCAGAAAGACCCTGAGTACATGAGCACACCAAAATTACAACTATTTACAGAATAACTATCAGTGAAACAGACCAGAACCTATCAGAAAAGATCTTTTACAACTATAGATATAATGAAGATGGGCAGCAGGGGTGGAGTCATGGTACAGTCAACACCATACCTCTGGTAGGTGAACCAGAAACAGAAGAATAATTGTTGCAGAAGTTCTCCCCAAGGAGTCTGAGCCCCACATCAGGCTCCCAAACCCAGGGGTCCTGTGCAGGAAAGACAAGCCCCCAGAATGTTTGACTTTGAAGGCAAGTGGGGCTTCCTTTTGGAAGACCCAGAGGGTTGTAGGAAATAGAGACTTCACTCTTAAGAGGGCGTACACACTCTGGGACTGGGGACAGAAGCAGTAATTTGAAAGGAGCCTGAGTTAGACCTGCCTGTTGATCTTGGAGAGTCTCCTGGAGAGGCAGGAGGCAAAAGGAGCTTACCTTGGGGACACATACACTGGCAGAAGCCATCTTTGGGAGCTTGTTCTACCATGGGGACATTGATGCTGGCAAGTGCCATTTGGAATCCTCCCATTACCTTATTAGCACCTGAACCCAGCCCTGCCCACCAACCTATAGGCACCAGTACCAGGTGCCTCAGGCCAAGCAACTAACTGAGCAGGGACACAGCGCCACCCAACAGCCTACAGGCTGCCTTAAGAACCCCTGAGCCCACAGCCTCCCCTGTACATTGCTCAGCCTACCAGAGGGCCCACCAACCATTACACAGGCACTAGACCTGGGACCAAGGGAATGATCATGATATGATCAAAGAACTCAGGAGAAAAACGGATTAAAAGAGTGAGAAATCTTAAGTGTTTAACAAAGAGTTAGAAAATATAAAAGAACAACCAAACAGAGGTGAAGAATCCAGAAAGTGAAATGAAAAATACACTAGAAGGAATCAACATTCGACTAAATGATACAGAGGAATGGATAAGCGAGCTGGAAGACAGAGTACTGGAAATCACAGAAGTGGAACAGAGAAAAAGAGAAAGGATAAAAAGAAATGAGGACACTAAGTGACCTCTAGGACAACATCAAGTGTGCTAACGTTCGCATTCTAGGAGTCACAGAAGAAGAGAGAAAGGGGCAGAGAAAATACCTGAAGACATATCATTGAAGACTTCCCTAACCTAGGAAAGGAAACAGACATCCAGGTCTAGGACACACAGAGTTCCAAACATGATCAACCCAAAGAGTTTCCTACAACCCAAAAAACGTATAAGGAAAAGATAAAGTTAAGCATGTTTCATCAACATCGTTCTCACCCAAGCTAACTGGCAAAGGTTTAACTTTATTCCATATATTTTGGAGCATATTCTAACTATTAGTCCTATTAGTTATTATCTTTGAGACTTTAATTCATTTACAAAATGAAAATAATCTATCTCTGGTTAACACACAGTTACTGAGCATTTAGAAAACTGTCCTAGTTTATATAAATATATGGCCATATCAATACTAGCTATAAGACTATTTACTACTTAAGTAATACCATTCTACTAATCAGTTGAGTAAGGTTATGAAGAACTGTAAGAAGTTACAAAATACGAAGTCCAAAAACGAGAAATTTTATTTGTTCTAAAATATTTGTTATACTCCTAGAAAAATTATTTTTTATTTTCAGTTTTAAAGTGGAAGAGCTCCCTCTCTGGCAGAATCTTAGAGGAAATTTCAATCTACAAAACAAGTAAAAGAACTGCTATCATTTTAATTCGTATTTTCTTCAGCCTTTCTCCTACCCTACAGCTTCTAGGATTTCTACTCCAAAGCAAGGAAAACGGCTAGAAAACTGGGACTTGAGCTTGTCTACACACGAAAACACATCATAATGTATTGTACCATTTTATAAAACTCTCAAAGACATCCTGGTGAGGTAATGAATATGCTAGGGTCTAGCTGTCTCTGTGCTCCACGACAACTTAGTTCAGTAAACCACTCCATATGAATTTTCACCTTTAAAATGGGAAGTAATACTACTGACTTTGCAAGGTTATTGTGAAGGTTAAGTGAAACAACATATATAAACTCTATGCGCAGAGCTGAGGACCAGTGAGAAGCACGCTCTCATATCTGAAAAAATAACATAACAGCTTCCTATGAGGTTAAAAAGGAATTGGTGACTGTAAGTGTGTGATGTACATTATAATGACCTATAAAGTTCAAAATATCCACATTTTGCCTGTATTTGTAATAAATTAAACTATATTACAGTATTAGCAAACTAATGATAAATGTTAATTCAAACTGCACATCAAAAAAATACATGCATAGCATCACTGTTCTTGGTTTGAAAAAAAAAAGCTATGTTAATTGGCTAATCTGATAACCTGATCAGAATTTTAATAAATCCAATAATTTCAGATGCCTAAACCACTCTGTGCTGATGTTTCATAAACAAAAACTTGAAATCATTCAACTTAAAAATAAAAAGACATAACAAAGTACTCTCGAGCCAAATTACACCACCACCAATGGAAATCATTTTGATATTTTTACATTTTTAACATTTAAGGGTGGCAAGCTGTTTTGGGGCATCTTCCAAAGTCACTCCGGGTTCTAAGTATATGTCTAGTCTTATTTACATCATCTATAATCTCAGTAAAAATAAAATTAATATTCATAAGGCAAGATACAATCTTAAATTACCAAAGAAAAAACAACTGGCAATACATTTTCTAACAAATAATGCATACATACTTATACTGAAAAATATCTAGGATTCTTAAAATAGTAAGGTTGAGTAAGATATTTCTTTATTAGAGTATCATTTAAAGTTATGTATTAGGCAACAATGCTTGAAACTTTTTGGATAGCTTAAGAAAGACTTTTCTTGCATTGCTAAAATAACAGTCTTAAAACACAAAATTATAAATGTATTTAGTCTGGAATCCAGTCAATAAAAATTAAAGTTAATTCACTAAGATAGTTCTACCAAATTTATCTTTAAGCAAAACAAAAATTCCAAACATTTTCCTACAAAGTTAAATTAAAAATTAAGGCAGTAATAAAGGTTTGATAACTTCCTGTTGATGTAGAACAGGAAAACCAGAACACTTTCACAAACCAAAATTACAGTCCCTTATTCATTTCCTTTCTGAAGATATTTATGGTTAGCAGAAATAGCTTAAATTAAGGTATGCTTTTATAATCATACAATTTTGTATTCTATAAATATTCTCTATACTTAAACTTTTTAAATTATACAATTTTGCAGAATGCCACCATAAAAAGACTAATAAATATAGAAACTGAAATCATCGACTAAGATTTACCAGAGTATATTTTTGATTAATTGGTTGATGCCGTCTCCCCTTTTTCCCATACCAGAAACGAGACATTTCCTTTCCAGGGCAAATTAAGTTACATCAAATCTCCTAAGAACTGTTTTAAAAAGCATTCTTCCTCTGTCAAAAATACATTTCTAGCACAAGAGCCCTACTACAGTGACAAAACAGTTTGCTGGAGACAAAGATTTGACTGACAAGACAGAGAGCTAATCACTAAGTAGCATCCACTGCAAAGATAGTCCTGAGTGGAGACTGTAAAGCTGGGGAGGGAAGAGAGGATTTCCCATGTTTAAGTTTGGTTGCACTGCACCCAAATGTGCTGAGAAAGGACTCAAAAGCTTAAAGATACAGAGCATGTATTTCCAAATACCAGTACACTAAGAAATATACTAAAAATAACCCAGTCATAAAAAAGTAATCAGTACAGTTTCCAGAGTCCCTCCCAAAGTACACAAATGATTTCAATTAACATTTTACTATTTGCTCATATAGTCATAATATTCTGTTCCTCATTTACATCTAAGAGTCCTATAAAATTTCATCTTACATGTATTTTTTAAGCAGTAAAACATCCTTTGAGGACCCTTCAATCCTCAAACTTTTAGAATGACTATGTAAAAATGAAGCCAATCTACTACAAATAAATCCTATACAGATATTTAGTGTGATCTGAAAATTCCTTTTAGTATTAACACAGTCCATTTTTAAACTGCATTTTCTAACATCTAGTTTCTTGAAAAAGTACTTATATTTACTATGCCTATGTATATAACCAGGGGTATCCTGAATATAAGTGAATTTTTAAGATTAAATATTATTATGACTATAAGCTATAATCACCTAGATTACCTCAATTTTAACTAGAATATCAATGCCATATGATACACTGAATATTTCTTCCATTTTAAGCTAAGACTGCTCCTCCCCCTTTACCTTGTTGTGTGTACACACAAAGCTGTGCACACAATGCCACCCTTCACACACACACAGCTACCTTTCTAGTATACACAATGCTGCACCATACCCACACCCCCCCATCTCCTTCCTGCATATTCCAGTATGTGCATGCACAAGACACAGCACACCCCCTGATGAATACCCACCCTGCCATGCCACTCATACCAGTCACCCCCTAACTCCCCCACGTGCTCCACCACACTTACCCTAAGATCTCTCTCCCACAGTCCCTCGCAGGCACACTATACCCATCTCCACACCAGCTTTACAATACAGGGTTCAATTATATACATAGTGAACTGTGGTCGCCAACCCCCATCCCTGCACTCCCTCTGCACACACCAACAGCATTAGATAATTTGGTGGTAGTGGGGTGCTCTTTTGAAAACCTATCATTACTTCCAGATGAATTTTCTAGAATTAGAAATATTATATGCATGCCAAAATGTGGTTTAAATGAGATTTTAAAAAATATACACACATGCACCATGCAAAGCATAGCCTATTTCATTGGTTGTCTTACTCAGCATACATCTCCACACCTTCTTCCTAATACAGTTTTGATTTTGCTAAGGTACCTTTTCAGCCATGTGTTTCTGAGAAGGCTGGCTCCATGCCTAGAAAGGATGGGTTCTTAAAGATCTAAACCAGTGGCTCTCAAATTTTAGCCTACACCAGAATCACTTGGAACATTTGTTAAAACAGAATACTGGGCTCCAAAACCAGTTTCTGATAAGCCGACTGCAATGGTGCCTGAGAATGTGTATTTTTTAATTTTTTTTTTTTTGGCTGCGCTGCGGCTTGTGGTATTTTAGTTCCCTGAGCAGGGATCAAACCTGGGCCCTGAGCAGAGAGTCCCAACCACTGGACCATCAGGGAATTCCTTGTACTTTTTAAACAAATTCAGAGATACTATTGGGGCTGGTTGTGGTCTAGGGACCACACTTTGAAAAACAACTAAACTACAATGAGATATCACTTCACCCCGGTCAGAACGGCTATTACCAAAAAGACAAGATATAACAAGCATTGGCGAGAAAAAGGAGAAAAGGGAAACCCTTGTGCACTATTGGTGGGATTGTAAATAGGTGTAGCTACCATGGAAAACAGTATATTTTTTGAGGTTCCCCCCAAAATTAAAAACAGAACTACCATATGATCTAGCAATTCCACTCCTGGGTATTTATCTGAAGAATGAAAACACAAAATTTAAAAGATACATGCACTGCCATGTTCACTGCAGCATTATTTACAATAGCCGAGATATGGGAACAATCTAAGTGTCCATCAATGGATGAATGGATGAAGAAAATGTGGTATAGATACACAGTGGAATACTACATAGGCAAAAACAAACAAACAAACAAACAGGAAAAGACTGAAATCTTGCCATCTGAGACAACATGGATGGACCCTGAGTTCATTAGCTAAGTGAAATAAGTCAGACAGAGAAAGACAAATATCATATGACCTCATTTATATGTGGAATTTAAAACAACAAAAAATGAAGCTCACAGATACAGGAAACAGATTGGTGGTTGCCAGGGGGGTGGGGGGTGGCATTGGGGAGGGCAAAATGAGTGAAGGGGGGTTCAAAGGTACAAACCTCCAATTATAAAATAAGTCATGAGGATATAATATATAGCATGGTGAATATAGTTAATAATACTGCATTACATATTTGAAAGTTGCTAAGAGAATAAATAGATCTTAAAAGTCTTTATCACAAAAAAGATTAACTAGACTTACTGTGGTGATCGTTTCACAGTATATACAAATATCAAATCATAATGCTGTACACCTGAAACTAATATGTTATATGTTATGTATACCTCAATTGAAAAAGAAAAATCAACTGGTCTAAGCTATTTTAAGTGTGATTTTCTGTTTCTTGAAGCCAAATGCTTCTATTTAATAAATACAATACCTACCTAGCAGACATAAAATGAGCTCAGTAAATCTCCTTCTTGCCCTTTCTTTTTTCATAGTACTCAGAAAACATAATGCTAGGTCATTTAAATTTGTCTAGACACCCCAGGGCTTGAAGCAGATGTCAATTTAGCATTAAAAATGTAAAATGACAGGCTATAAAATGAAGCACTTTTAAAAACATAACCAGCTTTAGGTTGAATATAATCTGTTCTCATAATTCACATATTCAACTTAATGTTTTTTCCTTTACTTTCTTTATCAGGGCTGAAATTACTGAATTACCTTATATCTGATATCCTCTAAGTTGGGAGTGGTCTACTAGAAGCAATAATACATTATCTACCCTACTCAATATTTAAAGTAATATTGTAATTTTTAAAATCATAAAATAGTCTTTCATTCATCCCTTCTCACAATATCAATTAGACATTTTGTGCTTTAATAGAAATTTTATAGTCTATAGCTTTTGGCTAGAGATAGATTATTAATAGGGAAAGCAAAGCATTGGTTCAATACTTTCCTGAGGCAGTTAACATCAGTAATAGTCAAAACAGACCATAATGACTCCTGGGTGCTAAATGCTAATATAAAAAAACATAATAGCCTAGAACTAGAGACCTACTCTACAGCACAGTGCCTATAATAATACTGTACTATATACTTGAAAATTTGCTAAGAAGGTAAATCTTATGTTAAGTGTTCTTATTACAAAATAATAACTACAAAAAGGTGAGAAGAAACTTCTGGAGACGAATGTTTACGGCATAGATTGTGGTGATGGTTGCATGGATATACACTTGTCTCCAAACTCATCAAGTTGTATATATTTAATATGCACAGCTTTTTGTATATCAATCATACCTCAATAAAGACGTTTAAAAAATACTCAATATAGAAATATTATATAAGACAATTTGTATTAACTCATAAATTCTAATTGTTATTAATGCTTTTGATTTATGAATTTTTCAGGTTTACTAAATTTCTTTGGCATTATGATTTGTTAATTCTATGTGATTAGATCAATGTAAAAAAAAGTATATTCTTCTTTAATTGCTTTTATCTGAGAAATGTGACCTCTACTTAGTGACTTAGAGATAGAGACCACTTTCATTTTGAACAAAATCAATTCTGTATGGATTTTTCAGGCTAGGCTAAGAGATCAGGAATTTTGTTTTATATATTGACTCAATTTTAATTTTGGCATTACTTGTGCTTTAATTTAAAAAACAAAACAAAACAAAAAAACAACCCATGTGTTTAAGAAAATGAACACCAGAATACTCATTGTCTGGCAGCTTACGAAGTAAAACATTAACCAAACAACTGAAGCCTCCTGATACTGGTGCTTCTTAGAAGTTGCAGCAATACCAAACTGTTAGTCTTCTCTGAGAAACCTAATAAACAACCACGGCAATAGCTCTACTTAATTAGTGACAACTAAGAAAACAGAACTGATTCCACATGATGATTACCACATCCTAGTGGAAAACCAAATCAATAAGGATATAATATGATAAATTTTATAGCCTAAATTGCTAATATTAGGTTAAATATATTAAATTTATATAATTAAAATGGAGAACACTAAAAATTAATGCCAAAATGGGAAGATCCTATAAATGAGTTACAAAATTATCTATGCCAGAAAGCAGATTCTAAAATACTTGGAGTAACTACAAAACCTTTATACAGGTTTATTTAATAAGCAGCCAATATATTTACATTTACACTTTCACTTAAATGAAAGCTTTGATTATTTGAGAAAATGTGAGTAATGTCAAGCACCTAAAAACGAACAAGTCATATCAGAAACCAAACACTGAATGGAACATATTTTTATCAATACTTTGGCAAGTGTAAGAAGTAAGAATTAAACCAGAGTAATCTTCTAATATCAATCATTGCTTTTAAAAACGAAAAGCACTAATACATTATATAATTTACTATGGGCATGTAATTTTAGTAAATCCATATTTTAAAATTTAATCAACAAGGATAAATCTGGGGATACAATCTTAGTAAACTTGTATTTTAAAATTTAACCAACAAACATAAGACTGGGAGGTAAACTTTTAAATAAATCAATTAAAGCTAATTTAATAAAGTCAATTTCTTAGTTGTTTTGACCACTGGATGTTTTAATTAGTAGGTCTGGAGTATGAGAGATACTGCACTACAAGTGGTATAAAATTAACTTTAGAGATGAAAAAAAATTGAAAACTTTTTCTGCCAGCTCTTATCCCAAAAGGAGTGGAATGTCAACCCAAAGGAAGTGGTACAACAAGCAATTTTAACTTCAAAAGTTCTACTTTTGAGGCATGTCATCAAGCAGCAAGACTGGTACACTCAACACATGTGACAAGCTGAAACCTAAAACTTTCAGAGGATTCT